CTGACACTTTGTTATTAGAGTATAGGAATGCTATGGATTTTTGAACGTTGATTTTGTATCCAGAAACTTTACTGTATTTGATTATTATTTCTAGTAGTGTTCTTGTGGAGTCTTTAGGGTTTTCCATATAGAGAATCATATCATAGTGACAGTTTTACTGCTCGTTTGGATGCCTTTTACATCTTTCTCTTGTCTGATTGCACTAGCTAGGACCTCTAATGTTATATTAATTAACAGTGGCAATAGTGGACAACCTCGCCTTGTTCCTGATCTTAGAGAGAAGATTATTAGTTTTTCATCATTAAGTATAATGTTGGCTGAGGGCTTGCCATATATGGCCTTTATTATATTAAGGTGTTTTCCTTCTATACTGATTTTTTAAGTGTTTTTATCATAAATGGGTGCTGTATTTTGTCAAAGATTTTTTTTCTGTATCTATTGATATGATCATATGATTCTTATTTTTTAATTTGTTTATGTGGTGTATCACATTAATCTATTTGCGTATGTTGAACCATCCTTGTGCCCTTGGGATGAAGTCCACTTGATCGTGGTGTATAATCTTTCTAATATGTTGCTGTATTCGGTTCTCTAGTATCTTATTTAGGACTTTTGCTTCTGTGTTCATGAGAGGTATTGGTCTGCAGTTTTCTTTTTGTGTGTTATCTTTTCTGGTTTTTGGTATCAGGCCCCATAAAATGAGTTGAGAAGTATTGCCTCCTCTTTGATTTTTTGGAAGAGTTTGAGGAGAATAGGTATTACATCTTCTTTGAACGTTTGGTAGAATTTACTGGTGAAGCCATGCGGTCCTGGACTTTTACTTTTTGGTAAGTTTTTGGTGATTGTTTCAATTTCCATACTGCTGATCAGTTTATTTAGATTTCCCACTTCTTGATTCAGCCTAGGAAGGTTATGTTTTTCTAAGTACTGATCCATTTCTTGTAGGTTATTGAATTTGGTGTTACATACTTTTTCATAGTTTTCTTGTATGATCCTTTGTATTTCTGCAGTGTCTGTCGTAATTCCCCCCTCTTTTATATCTGATTATGTTTATTTGTGTCTTTTCTCCTTTTTCTTGAGTGAGTCTAACCAGGGGCTTGTCATTTTTATTAACCTTCTCAAAGAACCAGCACTTCGTTGCTTTTATTTTTTTAATTGTTGTTGTTGTTAGTTTCGTTTATTTCTACTCTACTTTTGATTTTTTCTTTCCTTCTGCTGACTTTAGGCTTTATTTGTTCTTCCTTTTCTATTTTTTTTTTTAAGGTGAAGTATTAGGTTCTTTATTTGAGCTTGTTCTTGTTTTTGGAGCTAAGCCTGTAATGATATGAACTTTCCTCTTATGGCCACTTTTGCTGTGTCTCAAAAGTGTTGATATGCTGCAGTATCGTTTCTATGTATCTCTTGATCTCTTTTTATTTCTTCTCTGACCTGGTTACTCTTCAGTAGCATGTTGTTTGATCTCCATATATTTGTGGTTCTTTCTGCTTTCTTTTTATAGTTGATCTCCTGTTTCAAACCATTAGATCAGAGAATATGGTTGGTGTGATTTCGACCCTCTTATACTTGTCGAGGCTATGTCTGTGTCTCAGTATGTGTTCAATCATTGAGAATGTTTCATGTGCACTAGAGAAGAAGATATAAGCAACTGTATTGGGATTGAAGGCTCTCTAAACGTCAATTATGTCCAGTTGGTCTAATATATAATTTAAGGATGTTATTTCCTTATTGATTTTCTGTTTGGATGATCTGGCCATTACGACAGTCGGGTATTTAGGTCCCCTACTACGATATTGTTTTGGTCTGTTTCTCCCTTTATTTCTGTTAGTAATTGCTTTATATATTTTGTGGCTCCCTGATTGGGAGCATAGATATTAATAATTCTTATATCTTCTTGGTGCATGATTCCCTTTATCATTTTGAAGGGTCCCTCATTATCTTTCTTTACCTTTTTTTTTTATTTTGAAGTCTATTTCATCTGGTATTGATAGCACTGCTCTTATTTTTCTCTTAATATTATTTGTTTGAAATATTATTTTCCACCCTTTCACGTTGAGTTTGTTTGTCTTTGGAAGTAAGATGCGTCTCCTGGATGCAGTATATGGCTGGGTTTTGTGTTTTGATCCAATCTGCAACTCTATGTCGTTTTATTGGTGTGTTCAGTCCATTTACATTTAGGGTGATTATGAAAATATGAGGTCTTCTTATAGACATTTTCTGTTTTGCTTTCTGGTATCTCAATGTTTCATTTGCTTCCTTATCTTTCTGTTTCTTTATTTTTTTTTTTATTTTGATTGAGTATTTTGGATTTTTCATCTGGTCCTTATTGTTTTGTGTTACATGCTTCAGTTCTGAATTTTTGTCGTGTGGTTACCATTATGAATATGTAAAGGATAGTTATATACATATACAGTCATCCTTTTTCTTCTGTGTGTGCCTTATCTCTATTCCCCTTTGCAAATATGGATCTTTGCATCCTCCCCTTTTTACTCATTGTTGTCTATTTATGCTGAACTTTCATTACTATCTTGCTATAACAAATCTCTTCTCATTGTTTAAGCTTATAATGCCCTGTTCTTAGAAAGGTTTGCACTCTTCTGCTTCTATCTGCCTGTTAGTCACCTTACTCATAGTTATGTATATATTTTTTTGTCATTCCTTTTTAGAAGAGCTGACCCCTTTCAGTATTTCCTGCATTGCAGACTTTGTGGTGAAGAATTCCCTCAATTTTTGTATGTCTGGAAAGGTCTTTATTTCTCCTTCATATCTAAAGGAGAGCTTTGCTAGATACATTATTTTGGCCTGCTGG